CAGCCAATAAATGGCACCCAGAGAGCCGCCCACTTGGGTGTGTGGAATCCAACCAGCTGGCGACTCCCAGTCAAGGGACCATGGCCGCGGGAAGCAGAGGAACAAACGAACAGAAGCCCCAGGATCCCACCAGTGCAGCAGCCCAGACCGGGAAGTAGCTGCACACTCGAATGGAGCCCCGCAGCCCCTCAGGAAGAAGCAAAGAGGGCGCTCGGAGCCAGGCACTCGAGCAAAAGGAGGGGGAGGTGGCGAGAGGCAAGCTAGAAATCAAAAGAAGCAGGAAAAAAATAAAGAAGCAACCCCAACAGCCAACAAATGGCACTTAGAGAGCCAGCTAGTGCGAGCTGGTGTTTCTGGACAAGAGACTGTGTCCACGGGAAGTAGAGGAGGCCGAGTGTGGGTGAAGAAGGGTGGAGAGTGGGAAAGCGTATATCACAAATTGCCAGCGCTCCACAGCCCCTCAGGAAGAAGCAAAGGTGGCTCACGGAGCCAGGCACTTGAGTGAAAGGAGGGGGAGGTGGCGAGAGGTAAGTGAGAAATCAAAAGAAGCAGAGAAAAAAAGCAACACTAGCAGCCAACAAATGGCACCCAGAGACCCGCCCACTTGGGTGTGTGGAATCCAAGCAGCCGGCACTTCCCAGTCAAGAGACTGTGCCAAGCCGGGGTGAAGAGGGGTGGGGGGTGGGAAGGCACACACCGCAAATTACCGGTTGTTTTGTCTCCCACTGGACGCTCCATGAGGCTGCTTTCTCGTACCCCCGTTTGCTGGTCTCTGATAGGAGTCCAAGATAGCACATCTGCGCTGCGTTAGCTGGTAGGGGACCTCTGCATGAATCTCTCCTCACTCTCCATTCTCTGTCAGTTTTCTCACTCCATTTGTTGCTTGGCTGAGTTCTTTATCTCTTCATTTGATGTTTTAGGGTTTCAAGATTGTTGCATTCTCTGTTTGGCTTAGTTTTTTGGATCTTTGCTGTGGAGGGATGGCGTGGTGCTTCTGCCTAGAGCGCCATTTTGCCGGAACTCTCTAGTTGTTATTATTTTTAATTATTGTCATTATCATGTTGGCACCCTTGGCCTTTGAAGAAGAAAACACAATTTAAGAGAACTGCAACTGTGACTTTTCTCATAACCTCAAACAGTGTAATTGTAGCCTTTCCCTCATACTTTGACTTCTCAGATGCTATGGGACTCTTATGTTATAGCACCGTTGAGGGATGACAGGCACTCTGGAGACCTAAGTGTTTGTAGGCTCTCAAGTGGTTTGATGTAGTATTTGGTTATGCAACATTCTGTTATCTTGTTATTGTGGGGATTATTGTTGTTTCTGTCACTTCCTATTCACTCTGATGGTGAAGGAGAGAGGAATGGCCAAACACGTGACATCTGACACCGGACAGATGAGATTGACAGCAGTTTATTAGTCACATATACTCATAGCCTGGGGGAGGAAGACACCATATACCACACAGCACCACAGAGGTTTTGCATTCAGGAACAGAGTGAAAAACCAGGGCTGTGGGAGGGTGGTTTTGTAGTATCAGGAGGGTGGTGTGCCCCATTGTTCCTGCAGGAAGATGTGTGTTTGAAAAATTCTGCAGGCTGGCAGGGAACTGAAACCTGCTACTCAGGAACTGCACCTGGTTCATTTGACAAAGGTTGGCTAGGGAATCTTATCTGCGGAAACATAGTGGGAATTGGAACTTGTAGTGAGATCATTCGAGGCGCTCAATTTCACCAGGTGTTGAGGGAGCACATAATATTGGATCTTAATTTTAGGCCTTACTGTCACAATTGTGAGGATTTTATCCTTTGTCTAGAGCTGGTAGCCAGTTGTTGTCAAGTTGATTTCGACTCATGGTGACCCCATGTATTCAGAGTAGAACTGTGCTCCATACGGTTTTTCTATGCTTGTGATCTTTTGGAAGTAGATTGCCAGCCATTTCTTCCAAGGTGCTTCTGGGTGGATTTTAATAGCCCAATGCTTAGCTGTTTGTGCCACCCAAGGGCTCCCTATAGCTGGTACTAAATAGAAAAAAAAAAACCCTTCAAATCAGGAAAGAAACTAAATGTCAACCATGTGCTTCCTTGCCTTTATAACCTCAGGATTCCTTAAGTCAACCTTGACGTTGAAATCATTCAGAAATTTTTGTGTTCATCATCTCTTCTCTATTATAAATGTAGTATTACATTTACAACATTGGATTTCTTCTTTTATTTATGTTTTCATGATTATAACTTCATCAGTTATTTGAAATCAGCTTGCTTTAAAAAAAAATAGGGAAAATTATTCTCTGTGCCCTGGTGGTGCAGTGGTTAAGAGCTTGGCTGCTAACCAAAAGTTTGGCAGTTTGAATCCACCAGCTGCTCCTTGGAAATCCTTTGGGGCAGTTCTGCTCTGTTCTATAAAGGTGCTATGAGTTGGAATTGACTTAGTGGCAACAGGTTTTCTTTTGGTTAAATTTTTATGTAAGCCCTAGTACTAGTGGTACAATGGTTAAGCACTTGGCCGCTAAATGAGAGGTTGGCGGTTCAAATACATAAGTGGCTCCACAGGAGAAAAGATCTGGTGATCTGCTCTCATGAAGATTAAAAAAAAACTCTTTGCCATCAAGTCAATTCCAATTCATAGTGACCCTATAGGACAGAGTAGAATTGCCCCATAGGGTTTCCTGTGAGCGGCTGGTGGATTCAAACTGCCAACCTTTTTGTTAGCAGCCATAGCTCTTATCCACTGTACCACCAGAATTCCCCAATAAAGATCACAGCCTAGGAAACCCCATGGGGCAATTCTACTCTGTCCTGTAGGTTCACTATGAGTTGGAATTGACATGACAACACGCAACAGCAACAACAAATATTTATGTATATGGAGTGTGTATTTGGAAAAATGTGAATAAGAAAGAGACTTCTCCCATCACTTTTTTTTTCGCCTCAGATAGTTCTGTTAGGACAGTGCTTTAAGTCTGAGGAGAGTTAGAAGACTAAGGTTACAGCTTCATTGAATATTATACTGTGTTTCTCCTTCTTGCTGTTCTTAACATTAGGAGACATAGACAATAATGTTATTGTATTAATACTACATTCTCATTTAAAAAATCTCTTATTATCTGTTTCCACTTAGGAAATTTTGTCATTGCTTACCATTCTCTCCTTTAATCTTCTTCAATTTCATTTATAAACATTAATACTTCATGATAATAAGAATTTGAATATAACACAATTGGAGATTGGCTCCTTTTCTTGGTAACTCGCTTACCATGTCGGTTCATTAACCTTACTGTAATGACATCCTGTATTTTGTGGGGACTGAATTTTGAGGGCCCACTTAAAGCATTTTAGCGTGGTTTGAATGTTATTAATTTAATTCCTTTAATAATGCATTTATCAGCGTGACTTTGGTTTACAGATTTTTTGTTTATAATTACTTTTCTTATAGACAAGCATTACAAATATATTATTAAGAATAAATTGTATTATTTTATAGTTGGTCACAGTGGTGAAAGAGAAAATGTACCAGAAGGTCCTACTCAGAAATGTCTTCGTGAAGCCAGGGAACAAAACAAATGTAAAACAAAGATGAAAGACAGTACAAAGGTATGTCATTTATTTTTATTTTCCTTTGGTTCAAATTTTACTCTCAGAAACTCTAAAGATCTATGCACTCATATGGTATTATTGTTTTACTGGAAAAGGAATTTAGAGATTATATATTCCAACCCCCTCAGTTTATAGATACAAAACAGAGGCCCCCAAATGTTACTATTAACTGCTTAACTCAGAGACACATGCTTATTACTGGCAGAGACAACCCAGTGAATCACTCTGCCACTTACCTCAACATAGGTGTCTTAGCCTGAGTTCTCTAGAGAAGCAAAACCAGTAAAGCATATACGTGTATGTGTGTGTGTGTGTGTGTGTGTGTGTGTATTTATATCAAGGAAATGGCTGACAAGGTTGTAGAGGCTGGAACATCCCAAGTCTGTGGGTCAAAATACAGGCTTCTGCTGATTCATGTAGCTACAGGGGCTGGCAAACCGAAGATGGGCAGGTCACAGAGCAGGGCTCTTGCTCACAGGCTTTGAAGATTGATGAATCTCGAGATCAGCACGTAAGATCGCAGGTAAGTTGCTAGCTTAAGTCCTAAGAACTTGGAGGTCAGATGAACAGGAGCCAGCTGCAGGATCCAGCATGAGCAAAAAGCCCGCGAGCCTTGCCAGAATGTCCACTTATATTCCATGTAGGCCACACGCCCAAGGAAACTTTCCCTTTCAACTGATTGCTACTCACAGCAGATCCAATCATGGAGGTGATCACAACATCATATACTGCCAAACCACTGAGAATCATGGCCCAGCCAAGTTGACACACAGCCATCACAATAGGCATGGCCATGTTTTGTTCACCTGCTCAACTTTCTGCTTAAACTCACCTTTATCCAAAAGAAATCACTCCTGGTTCACTTCTTTTCTCATGGTATGATTTCAAACTTTTTTTGTCTTCTTTAAAAGTAAAATAGAATTATGTCCCATTTAAGAATATTTTCATAGATGAGTGACTTTGCTTTGCAGTCAGACTGATAATTAAAATCTTCTTTAATGATTAAAGAAAATGGTATTAAAATGTCTGGCCAGACAAATAAATAGAAAAAGAAAGAAAATTACATAAAACTTGTGAGATGTTTTGTTTCTTGTTATGAAAATTGTGTGAAGGTATAGATGAGTAATGAATTTTTTTATAAGGTAGTTGTTGCCTCAGTTTTAAAATATCTGGCATTTATTTAAGGTAAATTTACAATTATAATAGCTGTTTAGTAGTAGGAATTCTATAAGAAGAAAAGATTTTTATGAATTAAAATAATTTAATAAATTATTTACTTAGCCAATACCAATAACATTTTTTTCCCTCTAATGTATGCATTGGACCCTGGTATAAAATATTTGAATAAAAGAAAGACTAAACACTCTTAGGTTCACTAAGGCTTTGATAATAATCGACTTTTCTGTGATTTTTCAAATTAGTATTCTACTGATTCTCTATTATTACTATTAAGAATTTATTGCATTTGAGGTAGATGCATATCAGAATTAAGTATTTTGAGGTGATCATGGTGATTGTCATCAGAAACATTTTCATCTTTTAATAGCATAGGCATTCTCTTTCAAGTAGTAAGTTATGCTTAGAAATGATTTTTTGATTCATTCACTAAGTGCTTATGGTTTCTAAGATTTTACTTCAGTACTATCAGGTTAGACTAAAAGTCTACTAAAATCTGGGACAAGTATATTAATATTTATCAGTAGTGTATTCTTTTTGGTGTTGCATTAAAATATATAACATAACACCTATAACAGTATAGGAGAATTCAGGTGTTCTAAAAATGGTTAAAGTGTAAAGTGAGTCCTTCCCTCCCCTCATTGAGTGATCATTTTTTAATGATTTTTCTTTTACTTTTCTAGTAGTTATTTTAATTTTAAAATGGCTGAATTTATTTCTGTTTCTTGTGTCGTCCACTTTAGACAGTGTCTATTGACTCCTCTCTGGAAATAAACAGACATTAAGAGTACTTCACAAATTTGAGTTATATTATTATGCATCTTGTCAGGGTTGATAACATTATCATTTGCTGTGTAGTCTACACCTGGACCAATAAGCAACATCTTGATAAATGAAGAAAATACTGAAGTTGTCAAGGATTTCATTGTATTTGGATCAATAATCATTGCCCACAGGAGCAGTGGTGAAGAAATTAATCAATGTATTGCATTCACCAAAGTATGCTGCAAAATATCTCCTTAAAATCTTAAAAAACAAAGATGTCACTTTGATGACTAAGATGAGCTCGGCTCAAGCCATGGTATTTTCAGTGACCTCATATGCATGTGAAAGCTGGACAATGAATAAGGAAGACCAAAGAAGAATTGATAATTCAAATTATGATGTTGGTGAATAATATTGAATATACCATGGACTGCCAGAAGAATGAACAAATCTGTCTTGGAGAAAGTAAAACCATAATGCTCCTTAGAGGTGAGGATGGCAAGACTTCATCTACTTTGGACACATTATCAGGAGGGACCAGTCCCTCGAGAAGGACATCATACTTGGTACAGTAGAAGGTCAGTGAAAAAGAGGGAGACCCTCAGTGAGATGGATTGACACCATGGCTGCAACAATGGGATAAAACATAGCAACAATTGTGAGGATGATGCAGAATAGGCAATATTTTGTTCTTTTATAATAGGGTTGCTATGAGTTGAAGTTGACTTGAGAGCACCTAACAACAACCACAACATGTAATCCTAATCTACTTTCTGCTGTTTGTCTTTAAATTAATACTAAATTTTTAACCCCATAAAAAAGTACATATTTGCCAGATAAATTGCTGCACACAGTGTACCCAAACCCATGCTAATATGCTCTTGCAAAGATACCATGTCAGGCAGGGTATCTACAATTTGGGCTCCAACTTGGTTGAGTTTGCAGTAGTCTACAGTAATCCTTCAGGATCTCTGTTGTTTATAAGGAGTAGACTGGGGAATTTTATAGGAATACGATGGGAATTGCTACATTGGGCTAATCTCTGCCATTCCCTCCAGGATGCGATATTATTTTTGATTATTATCTTGGTCAAGGAAGGGAAGTTTCAGAGGTCTCCACTTGGCATCTGCCACTACAATAACCCTTATCCCTCAGGCCAAGAAACTAATGTGAGGGTTCTGGCACCTACCAAGTATGCCCTTTCAAATTACTTATTTGGAGACTGGGGAAATGATCATTAGATGAGTTCCTGGATGCCATCTCACTGTGATTCAAACCTGAATACGTATTTTTTATTACCTGGTTTCCACATGTCTTAATGCTAATGGTGTATGTGTGGGTGTCATAACACTGAGTCACTGAGTATCAATGTCATGCTAGACCCTGTGTCCATTAGTTTCAAAACGTTTGGGTACTCCTTCTTCTCCAGTGTATGGTTATCCAAGAAAATGGCTATTGGTGCCTTTGGAGAAGGAATAGAGGAATCATCATATAAATACATGCTGTGGTGTTACAGGATCCTTTCTTCTAGGGACCTAGACTCTTCTTAACTAAGTAGGTCCAGAATCTGAAAACTGGTTCAGGTCTGGAAACCAGCAAAGGATTGTGACTTTTTATGGAGTGGTTGCCCTCAGCTTTCTGATAATCCATCCTTGATTTCTTCTGGTTGTAAAGATTGAGCATTGATTACCCTTGCTTGCTTCCCATCTTTCTGTCCTCTGAAGATATTATATTCTATTAACTATCTCCCAACCTCTCAGTGGGTCAGGCTCTCTTGGCTGCTACTCCTACCTTGTTGCTCTTTACCATAATTATGCCCCACCTAAAAAAAAGACCTCTTTAAGGTGTTATAAAGCAAAGATGTCACCTTGAGGAATAAGATGTGCCTGACCCAAGCCATGGTATTTTCCATCACCTCATATGCATGTGAAAGCTGGACAATGAATAAGGAAGACAGAAGAAGAATTGATGCATTTGGATTTATGGTGTTGGCGAAGAATATTGAATATACCGTGGTCTGGCAAAACGAACAAATCTGTCTTGGAAGAAGTACAGCCAGAAAGCTTCTTAGAAGCGAGGATGGTTAGACTTTGTCTCACGTACTTTGGACATGTTATCAGGAGGGACCAGTCCTTGGAGAAGTTCATCCTGCTTGGTAAAGTAGATGGTCAGTGAAAAAGAGGAAGACACTCAATGAGATGGATTGACCCAGTGGCTGCAACAATGGGCTCAAACACAGATTGTGAGGATGGCTCAGAACTGGGCAGTGTTTCATTCTGTTGTACATATGGTTGCTATGCATTGGAACCAGCTTGACAGACAGCACCTAGCAACATCAACAACATTACCCACTTGACCTATATTTTATTGGGATCAAATCGTCTTCATTACTTTCAGTGAGTCCAGTTTTCTAATAACATCTCCTACCATCAGCCCAGGCTTTCAGAGGAGACTCATGACTGAGCTTCTCAGTGATGTTGCCATCCCGTTCACCAGTGCAATTCTTAATGCTTCTGTAACTGGTGTCTCCTCTGGTCATCATGTGGACATCGTTATCTGGTGGGTTTTGCAGACTTACATTGTATATCTACTCTTTCATACCCACTTTTCAATTTTTTGATTGTTGTTCCACTATTTTTCATGGTAGTTTTGTCATTTTTACTTCTTTTTGGTTAGCCATCATTTGTTCCCAGCATCCAGGAGCCATTGTAGCATCATCTTAACACCAGGATCCTTGCTAGGGTGTTATATTCTGTATCATAGGAGAGTGCTATTTCAACCTCTCTTGTCCCAAGAGCCTCAGGATCCAGTCTTTTAATGTACTTTCTTGGTACCCACAGGTATATGATAGCTGGGTCCTACTGTTCCTTTGGGAAGTAATTCTTTTTCTCCCTTAAAGCCTCAGTATTTCTCTGGCTAGATTATATTGTGACTTAAATGGATTTTGGTATATTGACAAGGAAGGAAGGTGGAGAAATACATTGTAAGAGGGGACGTTTGTTGTCCTGCAAAGCAGAGGACACTGAATTGCCTTTGTTCAAGGGAGAAGTCCTATC